CCTCCTCCTCCTCCTCCTCTTCCTCCTCCTCCTCCTCCTCCGTCTCTTCCTCTTCCTCCTCCTCTTCCTCCTCCTCCTCCTCCTTGAAATGCAGACTAGCAATATTCCTTGCCCAATGGGGAATCCTTTCTGGTGGTGGAGGGCTTTTTTTATTTTGGGGGGGGGGGGGGGGGGGGGAAGCTTAACAGAGGACGGGCAAACTGACAATGTCATGGTTCTTCCTTGAACAGTGGTTTCCTTTGGTGTCAAAGCGTCTTTGAGATGCGACGTCCCTCCCCAACACAGCAAGACCAGCCAAATAACTAATTAAGTGAAAGAAGCTGAGAGAGACAGTTTGGGGAAGCCATCGCTAATTGTGGTGGTTGTTTTAATCACTAGAGGCCAGCCTGAATTATACATGAATGGCCTTCAAACTCTCCACTCTTCTCGTGCTCCTGTTCTTCGGGAGTCATGCGGCAGCCATGCTCAGAAATGGAAGGGTGGATGTTTTGGAGAGCCTCTACTTGGCTCAGTCAGATGTTTCCGGGTTGACTTCTGAAATTTCCACCGCTGGATGGTTCCACCACCACCACCCCCCATCTGGAATTTTGATCTAGAACCTCTTAAACTGGGGGTTCCATTTTGGAAGATCATCGCTGGGAGTTTTCAAGAAGAGACTGGACAGCCCTTTGTCCGGGGTGGTGTAAGATCTCCTGCCTTAGCAGGGGGTTGGACTAGAAGACCTCCAAGGTCCCTTCCAGCTCTATGATTCTATGGATGGATGGATGGATGAACAAATGAGAGAAGAGAGAGAGGGAGATGGATAGATGGGTGGGTGGATGGATGGATAGATAGACAGACAGACAGACAAGCAGATAGATAGACAGGCAGGCAGGCAGATAGGTAGAAAGGTAGATAGATGTAGATAGATAAAGAGAGAGAGAAAGATGATAGACAGAAAGACAGTAAATAGGATGGCAGATAGATAGATAGATAGATAGATAGATAGATAGATAGATAGATAGACAGACAGATAGATAAATAGATAAATAGATAAATAGATAGATAGATATGGATAGATATAAAGCAGGGGGTTGGACTAGAGGACCTCCGAGGTCCCTCCCAACTCTGTTATTCTGACTTCAGAGGGCCGGCTCTACTAAGACCCATCCCCCAATCCCTGCCAGTCTTGGCTGGGAGCGGGTACAAAGCGGGCACTGCCCTGTCCATCTCAGCTCTGGCCCTTTGCCCTCGATCCGTCTTTTCCTTTGATGCATCGCCAGGCCTGTCTGAAGGACGAGCAATTAATTGCCTTCCCGGCATCTATTCATTATTTACAAAAAAAAAAATAAAAAATTTCTCATTTAGTGCAACTGCTTATTTGCAACGGTCTCCTTCCAACCAAAACCTAGCAGCTCCCCCCCCCACACACACACACTTTCCTTTTTCTTTTTTGCCAAACGGCTCCAGTGCCAACGTTAGCCGGGCCTTGCAACGGCCTTAATGAAACATTAAGACTCTTAATTACACCATTATCCTGTTTATTTTTTATAAATAATTCCGCCGCAGTCATTAAAGTGGGTGAATTTGGGAAGAGAATGACTTTCCGGAGAGAAATAGAGGAGTTTGTGTGGTTTTTTGGGGCTGGTTGTTAGCTGTGGGATTTTTTCTTCTTCTGAAGAAGAATATTTTTCCAACTTTTAGTAAGAACTCCAAGTTGAAATTTTATATATATATATATATATTTTACTGGAATAGTTTCTTGCAGAAAAAGCAACTTAAGAGGTATTAGAGTTATGCAAACAGTCAGGCTGAGCTGTCCGTGGTGCTGATAGATTGCTTGGATGGCTTTGTGTTGTTCCTTTTTAATGCCCATTTAAGAATGCAAGTTTTTACTCTGGAGTAAATGCTGAAATTCACCCCTGGGGAGTTTTACTCAGCCCCATCCCTGCCTCTCTCAGCAACTAAAATATCACCTGCATTTTCGAGTGCATCTTAAAAGCCGCCCCCATAGTTTTTCCAATATGAGACAGGCGGCAAATAAATTTAATAAATAAATCTTCCAAGGCTTTGAGGAACTAGAAAAAGAAGCTCACATTCTCAGAATTACAACCTGCCTTTTTTGCTTCCCCAAGGATTTTTCAAATCAGACCCATTCATGGATATATAGGTTGTCCGTCAATCTAATTTCAAATATTCAACCGTTGTTTGGTTTGGGCTGAATCTTCCAGCTGTCATTCTAAAGAATTTTTTTTTATTGAATTCAACTTTAGCTTCCAAAATGATTTTCACCTTTATTTCAAACAGGGCAGATTTGGTTAAAAGAGGAATAAATCTCTCCAAAAAAGGAGAGTGCAGGCCATGGAGTTGGCAGAGTGTGTGTGTGTGAGAGAGAGGGGGGGGGGAGAGGGAGAGACAGAGACAGAGAGGGAAGGAGGGAGGGAGGGAGAGGGAGGGAGGGAGCCTGGGCCGGCCATCCGCCCTCAGATGGTCAGTCAACAGCCCCCAGGTCTGGAGGTGGCTGATGAGGAAGAGGAGGAACAGCTGGGTCCAGTGCCTGACGCCTGGATACGCAGAAGGCAGAGGAGAGGAGAGCAGTGGAAATCTATGGGCCGGTCCTTGGGACGGAAGATCCACCGCTGCTAGCGAAGCCCCCACCTCTAAAAGGCAGGGGGCGGAGATGAATAGATCTGGCAGACAACTATTCATTTCCCGGCCGGCCGGACTTGTTAGCCTGCGGTGAGAGAGGAACTGTTTGCCGGGGCAACCGGCATTCCTAATTAAAGGAATCTTTGAGTCCACTTCACGGGGTTTGTTGTGTTTGGGCAGCCGGGTCGGAACAACAACCTTTGTGTCTCTGCTCTCTCTAGAACCCCGATATCGTGCTGGTGCACTACTTGAACGTCCCCGCCATCGAAGACTGCGGGAAGCCATGTGGCCCCATCCTCTGCTCCATCAACACCGACAAGAAGGAGTGGGCCAAATGGACCAAGGAGGAGCTGATTGGCCAACTGAAGCCCATGTGTGAGTACCACCACGGAGGGTGGGTTTGTTGGGAGGGAGGCTGGTAAACGGGGGGGGGGGGGGGGGGGGTTCTTGAAGGCATCTAGGTATCCTTGGGATGGCCCCGCTGAAGACTCCTCCGAGCCCCTTTTCCTGGTCGCTTCTTGGCTGCCAGGATGGGTAGGCCGTCCCGGATCTCTGGTTTTTCCTTCTCACACCTAGGGGGTGACATGAGAGCATCTACCCGTAGTTGAGGGGCTGCCCCCCCCCCCAAAAAAAGGGGGTTTCCTCCTTATTTTCCAAAGTACCAGAAGGCCAGGAGAGAAGCAACTTGGAATTAAGGAGGAATGGCCTGACATTGAGAGCAATTTACCCGTGGAACCGCTTGCCACCAGGAGGTGTGGCTGCTCCATCACTTGAAGTTCTCAAGAAGAGACTGGACAGCCATTTGACTGGAATGGTACTATAGGGCTTCCTGCCTGAGCAGAGGGCTGGACTAGAAGACCTCCGAGGTCCCTTCCAACTCTATTATCCTCTAAGAAGGTGTCTCCTGCTTGAGCAGGGGGCTGGACTAGAAGACCTCCAAGGTCCCTTCCAACTCTATTATCCTCTAAGAAGGTGTCTCCTGCTGGAGCAGGGGGCTGGACTAGAAGACCTCCAAGGTCCCTTTCAACGCCGTGCCCATCGGCTGAGACACATTCGCCCCCCCAAAAACCCAATTCCTGATTTTATTTCATTTCATTTTGCAAGCAGCTCTCACCGTCCCCCCCAGCCCTCCGAGGTAGCTGCCCTGACCTGGAACCCAAGGGCAAACCTGCAAAAACCCACCCACCCTTAAAACACACCTGCACACGCATGCACACACACACACACACACACACACACCCAGAGAGAGGAAACGGGGGCTGGGACTTTTGGAGACGAGGTTGACATCTGTCCGAGCTCAGCTTTGCTGCTGCTGCTGGGAAGGTAACCGGATTTGGAGATCTGCAGTGCGTCAGGAAGGGGAGGAAGGAGGGGGGGGGGGAAGGAGACCCATAAACGGTCGTAAATCTCTTTTATGCTTTGTGACGGAGGCGATGGGGGGGAGTTCTGCCCGATTATTCTGCATTTGCACACTCGGCCGTCTCGCACACCCCAGGAGAGAAACCTCTCTCTCTTTCTCTTTCTCTCTCGTTCTCTCTCTCCATCCCTCCCCCCTCTATTTCTCTTTCCTCCCTCTCTCTGTCTCGCTCTCCCCCTTTCTCTCTCCCTCCCTCCCTCTCTTCTTCCTCCTTTTTCTCTCTCTCCTCCTGTTTCTTATTCTCTCTCCCTCCCTCCCCCTCTCTTCCTTTCTCCCTCTCTTTTCTCTCTCTCTCTTTCTCTCCCCCTCTCCTTCCCTCCCTCTCCCTGTCTCTCTCCCTCCCTCTTTCTCCCCCTCCCTCTCTCCTTCCCTCCCTCTCCATCTCTCTCACCCTCCCTATTTTCTCTCTCCCTCCGTTTCTTTCTCACTCTCCCTCCCTCCCTCTCTCTCTCCCCCCTTTTTCCCCCCCCCCCCCTCTCTTCTCCCTCCTCCTTTCTCTCTCTCTCCTCCTCCTGTTTCTTTCCTTTCTCCCCTCCTTCATTCCTCCCTCCCTCCGATTTCCTTTCTTCCTTCCCCCCATCTTTCCTTTCTCTCCTACTTTCTCCTTCCTTCCTTCCTCCTTCCGTTTTTCTTGCCTTCCTTTTCCACCCTTCCTTCCATCCTTCCTTCTTCCTTCCTCCCTTTCTTCCATTTTTCCTCCCTCCCTCCCTCCCTCCCTCCCCTTGCTGATCTGCGGGTGTCCTTGGAGGCATCCGTCAGGGGAGCCTCACCCGTCCCATCGGATCAGCCAGATGGCCGCTGAGTAGGCAGAAATCAATGCAGGGACAGTGGCATCCACACCGTTGGAGACTTGCCAACTTCTGCAGAGCGAAGCGGGGGAGGGGGGGCTTCCCCCCCACCCCCCCCACCCCCAAATCAAGGCAGCGGACTAGACCTGAGTTGCCATCCTGAACTTCCAGCGGCAGAAAGTTCTAAAGAGCTGGATTATTCCCTCATTTTTCCACGTCACGGTGGCTTGTCCAGCAGCCACTTGTAGTTCTACCACGAGCTTCTAGGGGTTGCGGGGGGGGGGGGGAGAGGAGGATAGAGGAAGAAGAAGAGGAGGAGGAGGAGGAGGAGGAGGACTGTGGGGTCCTTGGTGCTCTCTGAGCTTGGTGGGCTTCTTGCAGACGTTTCATGACCCAACTAGGGAACATCATCAGTGCTAGGAGGAAGTGGGGTTTCAAGAGGAGGAGGAGGAGGAGGAGGAGATCTGTGGGGTGCTTGGTGCCCTCTGAGCCTGGTGGGTCTCCTACCAAGCTCAGAGAGCACTAAGGAACCTACAGGGCTGGGCTAGAAGACCTCCCGAGGTCCCTTCCAACCCTGTTTATGCTGCATTCTGAGATCCCCACCCTCAAAATAAGGAAGGATTTCTTGACAGGACAATCAATCCGTTGAATGACTTGCTTCCAGAAGTCAGGAAGGCTCCAACCCTGGACTGGTCATTCAATGACTGGACAACCCTTTGCCTAAAATGATATCAGGTCTCTGGCCTGAGCGGGGGGGGGGGTGGACTAGAAGACCTCCAGGGTCCCTTCCACTTCTGTCACTCGTGAAACCTCCCTCTTTGGCCAAAGTTGCCGAGTCCTCATTTTTTCCTGGATGACTCAGAGTGGGCACCCCAACCCTCCAAGGGAGCCCTGGAACCCATCATCCTGGGCGAGGATGGGATATGGAAAAGGAGGCGAGCGGCCTCGGGTGAGAGCAGCCCTTCCTTGCTTCCTGCAGCTGTCGGGCGCCCTCGTGTGGCAAGCGAGAACATTTTTTTCCCCTATAGGTTTCCTTCCTATAGGGGAAGGAGAGGGGAGGGGGCGGAGGGAGAGGGAGGGTCTGCCCATAGACGCCCATCTTCGCTTCGGGTTCGGACAGACTGCAAAGCTGCAGCTCTGCCTCAGGCACGAAAGCCCGCTGGGTGACTTTGGCCCAATCCCCAGGAGGCTGCGAGTTCTAGTCCCGCCTTAGGGTTGGGGTTCACCACAAATTAAAAAGTCACCGTACTACGCTGCCATACGGTCACGGCCGACGTTATGAGAAGCAGGCAATCCCTTCACAGAGGCTGTTGAGTGTCCCATTCCCACGGGGGTCAGTCTAGCTGCCTCTAGGGTGACCCTTGAAGTGGTTTTAATTTTTTTGTAGCCTTTGCAAACGGACGGGAGGGGTGGGGGAGCCAGCGGGTGGGCAGGTGGGTTCGGTGTCCTTTAATTAACCTCACCCTCTTCCTGCCCCCTACCCAGTCCAGCTGAGGGACCCCTCCCGATTCATTCCACGTCAGGCCACTGAGTGTGACACGTTTAAAAAAGAAAAGAAAAGAAGAAGAACCCACTCAGATTGCGTTTTTCTGTATTCAGCAGGAACAATTTGTGGGCTCAAAGGAGATTCTTAACCCCCACTTACACACACATACACACACACACACACACACACACACACCCTGAGCTGGAGGGATGGAGAGGCTGGGAGGTGGGGGGGCGGGAGGGAATCATCATATCTGGATGAGCCAAGACAGTTGGTATAATTTGCATGAAGTGCCCCCAATTTCTCTCCTTTCAATCTGTCACCCATCACTGGTTTTTCGTCTTATAACCTTCACAGAAGAAGGGGGAGCCTCGGATTTTGCAGTGGGAAGAGAGAGAGAGGGAGGGAGAGAGAGAGAGAGAAAGAGAGAGGGAGGGAGAAAGAAAGAGAGGGGGGAAAGAAAGAGAGAGAGAAAGAGAGAGGGAGGGAGAGAGAGAGAGGGAGAGAGAGAGAGAAAAAGAGTAAGAGGGGGAGAGAAAAGGAGGGAGGGAG